GATGATGATGATGGAGATGAATGATGATGATGATGATGATGAAGTGATGATGACCCGATGGAGATGATGATGATGATGATGATGATGATGGAGATGATGATGATGATGATGATGATGATGATGATGGAGATGATGATGATGATGATGGAGATGGAGATGGTGGTGGTGGTAGTGGTGGTGATGATGATGATGGAGATGATGATGATGATGGAGACGATGGAGATGGTGATATGGAGATTACGTTGATGGTGGTGATGATGATGTGGCTGTGGCTGCTGCTGCTGCTGAAGGAGCTTGCAGACATCTCATGAAGCAAGGGAAGGGGAGCGATCCTCAGCTTCTCTCAGCTCGTGACGCTTCAACGGCGCTGTTGTCCCTCGCTCGTTCCTCCTCCTCTGGGGCTCCAGCAGTGATGGAGGTGGCGACGGCAAGTTTGTCGTCTCCCTCCTCCCTCCTCTCTCTCGATCACCTGGCCCTCGCCTCTCGCTCCCTTCTTGCCTGCAGAAAACAACAACTACTACAACAACAGCAACAACAGCACCTTCTCCTCTCGTCTGCCACCCAGGTGACTTCGCAGCCAGGAGGAGAGGAGGGAGGATAGAGGGCTGACGCATGGGACAGAATGTGCTGATACGGAGCAAGGAAATGATCAGAGGAAACGGAAAGGAGATGGAAGAGGCGACGCGGGAGCTGTTGGATGTCTACGCGTTCGTCTCCTTCCTCTCCCTCTCAGACGGTCAAGTCGCTCAAGTTGCCGACGAGGTGGCGACGAGGATCGAGGAGGCTGCCTCCTTCTCCTCTTCCTCCCTCTGGCGGCCGCGAGTAGCCGCAAGCATGCTGCAATCGATGTCGAGACGGCGTGGGGAGGCGGCGGGGAGGGCGAGGGAGCGAGTGCTGCAAGGGCTACAGGAGCAGGAGGAGTGGAGCGGGGAAGAGCTGGGGATGGTAGCAAACCTGATGAGGGAGCAGGGAGGGGCGGAGGACTTGACCGTCCTCGTCGCTAGTCGCACGTCGCAGCTGCTCGCGAGAGAAGGCGAGGTGGAGCTAGAGGATCTTGCGGCGATCGCGTCCTACGTCTCGTCGAGGGAGGGAGGAGGGAGAGGGAGGGAGGAGGAGAGGAGGAGGTGCCTGGAGGGGATCGCAGAGGAGCTGGTGGCTCGGGGAGTGACGAGGATGTCGCTCTCCTCCCTCACGCAGCTGCTGCTGGGGCTGACGAGGTCAAGGCAGCTGCCTCCCTCGCTCAAGCAGCTTCTGTTCGCCTCCATCCGCAAGAACTCTCTGCGCTCCTTCTCCTCCTCCCATATCATTAACATTCTCACCGCCCTCTCGCTGGAGCAGCAGCAGCAAGAGCTCGAGGAGGAGCAGGAGGAGCAGGAGGTAGCAGGGGAGCTGCTGCTGTCGCCGAGTCAACGGGGGATGCTCGACTTCATAGTGACAGTGATGCTCAACATGAGGATGGAAGAGGAGCCTCTGCCCTCCCTCGCCCTCGTCGCCTCCTCCCTCGCTAAACTCACTTACGCTCATGCCAACTTTGAGATCTTCCGCAGGATGGTAAGAAGACTCTATGCCTGCCTGCCTGTCGCTGCTCCTCCTCCTCCTTCTCGCTCTCTGTCTCTCCCTCCCTCCCTCCCTCCCTCCTCTCTGTCTCTGTCTCTGTCTCTGTCTCTGTCTCTCTCTCTCTGTCTCTTCCAGGTGCTGACGGGGCGTCAGGCTCGGATCCTGCAGGAGCGAGAGGAGGAGGTCATGAGCTGCTCGGACCTTCTTGTCCTCAGTCGCTTCCTCCGCGGCTTCTCCTCCGCCTTTCCACTCCGATCCTCCTCCTCCCCCCCCCAGCTCATCATGTCTGAAGTTGCCCTCCCCGATATCCTCTTCCAAGACCAAACCTTCTCCCTCCTCACCCGCCCTGCTCTCCTTGAGGTCTCCTGCTCTCCTGCTCTCCTGCTCTCACCTTGTGCTAGGACGCGTCGCAACTGGCAGCGCAAGGGCATCGCTCGCTCGCTGTCTTCGCTTCCTCCCTCGTCAAGTTTCCTTCTCCTCTCAACGCCACCACTCAGCAGGTTAGACCCTCCGCCTCTCCTCCCTCTCCCGCCCCCACTCCTCCTCCCTCTCACTTCCACCCTCGCTCCCTAATCCTCACGCTTGTCTGGTTGGTCTGACTCCTGCTCCTGCTCCTGCTCCTGCTCCTGCTCCTGCTCCTGCTCCTGCTCCTGCTCCTCCAGGTTCTTCTCCGCCTCATGGACGCTGCTGAGCTCGTGGATGATGCCAGCTGGTCGCACCAGGACGCGCAGAGTTTGGCACAGATAGTGAGGAAAGGACCGGTCCTGCTTCCTCCCGATCGGCTCCAGAGCTACATCGAGCGGATCAACGAGAAGCTGGCGGGGGACCTGCAGAGAAACTTCAAACTCCACTCGCAGCACGTCAGAGGAGCCACGAACATTGCGCGGCTGCTGCCCTTCTTGCAGCAGCTCGAGCAAGCCAGCAGGATGGGAGAGCTGCTGGTGAAGAATGAGATGCGAGGGATGACGGTGAGAGGAGGAGGAGGAGGAGGAAAGAGGAGGAGGAAAGACGAGGAGGAGGAGGAGCTGACAGGAGCATCAGGTGTCGGACGGGGTGACGTGCTGCTTTACTTCCATCAGCTCTCTGCTTCTCCTTCTGCTCCTCTCCTGCTCAACCTCTGGGCTCCTCATCTCATCGAACAGCTGCAGACCCCAGGAGAGGACGAGGCGACAGGAGGAGGAGCAAGGGACTTGACTGCGCTAGTCAGACTCTTGAGCGTGATCAACGGGAGGGAGGAAGTGGAGGGCACTGCTGCTGCTGCTGCTGCGCCTCCTCCTCCTCCTCCTGCTCTACTCCAGCTGCTCTACCGTCGCATCCAGCAGGAAGTCTCTCGCTCCGATGGACACCATCGCCTACAGGATCTCGTCCTCCTCCTCCGCATGTCAGCTGGCAGTGAGCTGGGGGAGGCGGTCGCTAGCAGACTCTCCTCCCTCCTCTGCTCCCGCCGTGTCTGCTCCCGCCAACTCACTCCCCCCCTCCTCCTCTCCCTCCTCAGCACTCTCAGGGGTCAGCCGGCTGCTGCAGAGCTTCTCTCCGCCTCCTGCCTCTCCTTCTCCTCCGTCCCGGCACATTGCTGGGCCTCAGCTAACGTCGTGCTGGGGCTGCTGGAGCAGCTGAAGGAGCTGAGGGAAGTGGGAGACCCGAAGAGAGCAGCAACGAGAGTGTTGTCAGAGGCTATCTGCTCCCTTCCTGGTAGCTCCTCCTCTTGTCCTCCTCTCTGTCTTCCTCTCTTCTTATCCTCCTGTCCTCTCCTCTTCCTCTCCTCTTCTCTCAACTCCTGTCCTGTCCATCTGCTTCCCCTCCCCCCTCCCTCGCTCTAACTCTCTCACAGACGAAGCCTTGTCTCCTCGGCTGGCCGTCAGGATTCTCTTTCGCTTGGGGAGGGGCAGAGAGCCGCTGGAGGACCCGGAGGCTGCTGCTGTCACCCGCCTCCTCTTCTTCCTCACCCGCTCCTCGCTCTCCTCCTGCTCCTACCGCGACCTCTCCTGCCTTGCTCGCGTGCTGGCAATGAGGAAGGCCGAGGAGTCGCCGTTGTGGCAGGCGGTGGCGGAGCAGGTAGTCGTGCTGGAGGAGGAGGAGGAGCTGCCGCTGGGGGATGCGGCCAGTCTTGCCGTGAACTTCGCGCGTATGACGAAGCTGGAGGAGTATGCGGGCATGAAGGAGGCGCTGCGAACAAGGTTGAGGAAGGAGCTGCGGGGAGGAGGAGGAGGAGGAGGAGGAGCAAGTCAAATGAGGATGCTGGTGAATCTGCTCAGCAGCTTTTCGGGGGAGCTCAGCGCGGAGGAGTGGGAGGCGGCAGTGGGGAGGATGAAGGAGGAAGACGTTGCTGCCCTCCCCCTGCCTGTACAGTGCTCCCTCCTCCTCCTCCTCTCCAAGGCCAAGATCTTCGACCGCGACCTCATGCGGACACTTGCTAACGAGATGGCGAGGAGGGCAGAGGAAGGCTCGCTCCCGCTCCCCCTCGCCGTCGTCGTCCTCAAGAGCATCGCAGCCTCCGACATGGTCTGGATCGACGCGGCCGGCACGGAGGACGTCTTCCTCGCCGTCTCCCGCCTCCTCCAGCAGCGGCCGCTGAAGCAGCTCAGCCTCCAGCAGCTCGCCATCGTTGCCAACTCGTTCGCACGCGTCAAGGTCTTCGACGAGCCTCTTTTCCTCCTCCTCTCCCGCGCCATCCGCAAGAGAAGGGTGAACCCCTCCCTCTTCCGCGTTCAGATCATCGCCGTCCTCCTCTTCGCCTTCTCCCGCGTCCAGGTCGAGGACCCCCAGCTCCTCGACTTCCTCTCCGAGGTTCTCCTCCAGCTGCCTCCTGAGCAGTTCACCCCGCAAAGTCTGTCCGTCATCATCTCGGTGTACGCGGGGGCTCACAGGCGGCGGTCGATGTCGTCGCTGGTGCAGCACAAGCCCTCGCCTGCTCCTCTCCCGCCTGCCTCAGGCATCCTCGCGTTCCTCGCCTCCGTCGCCATCCAAATGAAACCTCAGACCTTCGAGGTGACTTGCTGCTGCTGCTGCTCCTCCTCCTCCTCCTCCTCCTTCCCCCCCCCCACTCCCCCAACCTCTCCACAATCTCTTCACCTCCTGCCGCCGTTGCTGGTCTGCTGCTGCTGCTGCCCCTTCTCCTCCTCGGCTTGGTGCCTGCTGATCCTCCTCCAGCCCAGGCACATTCGCGCCATCGTGGAGGCTTATCATCGAGCAGGCGTAAGAGCAGAAGGACTGTGGGAGGTAAAATGATGCTGGTGGTGGTGCTGCTACTGCTGGTGGTGCTGGTGGTGGTGCTGCTGGTGCTGGTAGTGCTGCTAGTGGTGCTGCTGGTGCTGGTGCTGCTGCTGCTGGTGGTGGTGGTGCTGGTGTGGTTGTTGGTGTTGTTTGTGTTGTTGTCGGTGCTGCTGCTTTCTTTGTGTTGTTGTCGGTGCTGCTGCTTTCTTTGTGTTGTTGTCGGTGCTGCTGCTTTCTTTGTGTTGTTGTCGGTGCTGCTGCTTTCTTTGTGTTGTTGTCGGTGCTGCTGCTTTCTTTGTGTTGTTGTCGGTGCTGCTGCTTTCTTTGTGTTGTTGTCGGTGCTGTTTTTCTTTCTCACCATCAGCAGGTGATGTCCAAGGCATGGCAAATCAGATGGGGTACAGGATTCAAGAGCGAGCAGGTGAGGAGGAGGACGAGCAGAAGAGGGAGGGAGGGAGGGAGGGAAGGGAAGGGAAGGGGAGGGGAGGAGGAGGAGGGGGGGGAGGGGGAGGAGCATGAGGAGGAGGAGGAGGAGGAGGAGGAGAAGGAGGAGGAGGAGGAGGAGGACGAGGAGGAGGGATAGGAGGACAAGGAGTAGGATGACCTCTAAACTCTTCACAGGAGATGATTGACTTCCTGACATCGTTGGACGAGGAGACGAGAAAGCCAAAGACATCCAACGTGATTCACTCAAATCACCTCCAACCCTGCCCCTCCTTCTCTCCCTTTTCTCCCTTCCCTCGCTTTTTGCATCGCCCGTTTTCCTTCCTCCTCCTCTCCCCTTCTCCTCTCCTCCTCTCCTCCTTCTCCTCCAGTCCTCTCCTCATCTCCTCCTCCTCCTCCTCCTCCTCCTCCTCCTCCTGGTCTCCTCCTTCTCCTCTTCTTCTCCTCCTCTCCTCCTCCTCCTCTCTCATTCTTGGTATCTCGCAGGCCCAGTCGTCCTCCTCCCCTGGGGCTCAAGGCGACACCTTCGGTCTGATGCTCCTCGCCGGCGGCTCGTGCTGACATGCTGTAGGGGCCCTCAAACGATGGATCATCGGCGGGGGGAAGTGAAGGAGGAGGAGGAAGCGAGCAGGTCTTGGCGTGTAACATAACAATCAATCACTGTCAGCTCCTGTCCTTGCTCTCGTCTCCTCTTCTTCGGAGTTCTCAGTCCTCTTCTCTTCACCGGAGTTTTCTTCGTCTCCCCTCCGAGGCTCGTCGAGTTGCCGTTGGACTCTCAACTCACTCAGCAAGCCTTCACGTGCAGTGATCACCTGCTAGTGACTGCCTGCCCGCCGGACTCCTTTGCGGCCGCCAGCTCAGTGATCATCATGACTGATAGTACTACCCGGTGACCGTCCGATCGGAGCGTGAGCCTGTCAGCTCTGCCTGGCGCCAGCCCGGCGGGACGGTAGGCCCGGAGCCGGGCCGGGCCACTGAGAGAAGTTTTGAGTCCGATGGTCAACGGGCCCGGAACCGTCGAACTACCGGGCTGCCAGGCTCCGGCGTTGCCCGGGTCGGTAGTAAGCCTAGTACGACTGTACCCTGCCTGGGGGGGGGGTAGTGAAATTAATGGTGGGGTGATGATCTTCAATTAGGGTCTAAATACCCTCGTTTATAGAGTGTTTTTGAGTGTAAGGGTAGGGTCAAGACGAAAAAGCAGGGGTAATGGGAGGAGAGGGTGGGGTGAGAGTCTGCCAAGGAATTCTTCTGATCGTACCGGTAGGGGTGGTTCGTTCTTTTGTGGCCTAACAGGACACATCTCATACTTGGTGGGGTAGTAGCCATGGGGGGTGGTACAGATAACCCCCATTTAAATTTCAGTACCCACATGTTGGACCGATTCTTCCTCTTCAAAGACCCCTTGTAATTATACCCCTACCCCTACAAAATTCCAGAGTCCATGTACCCCCTTCGTTGCCCCGTGCGGCAATGTAGCGGCTTGCGGCGAGTGGAACATGATAGGAGGAGGGAAGGGAAGGAGGGGGCGGAGAGTTTGATCCAGCACCAGACCGAGAGGAAGGTTGTATTGTGAGAGGTCTGCCCGCAAGGATAGGAGCTGGTGTGAATGTCAGGGGAGCGAAGGCCATATGGATTTGATCAGAAATGAAATTCATTTCCAAGTGAGCACCAAGCTTTGAAGGAAACTAGCGTCTCATTTGAATATGCAAAGGAGATATTGATGTGAAGAGAACAATACAGGAGTACAGGAGGACACATGCGTGTTTCAACTGCTTCAGCTGACGGGGAGAGTTTGATGATCGTTGGAAGATGATAGCAGGGTCTGGTTGATGAGCGTGCAAGAGAGAGGCGGAGCGAGCAGTTGAGCATGCAAGAGAGTCAAGTAGATGCTGCATCCAAACCCGAAGAATCATGTCTCAGGGACGTCCTTGCTCCCAGGGGCGAAGGCTTTGTTTGATTTCTGAAAGGCTTCACATTAGCAGGGCCGGCTACCTTTATCTCCGATGGGCCTCTTATCATTGCTGGGAGTCACTAAGAATGGAGTGAGATGCTCTCCCCTCCCAACCTGATCGACACCCTGACACCTGCTGCAGAACTCAGCTGTCCCCCAGCAGAATGCGGTGGTGAGCACCGGCATGCGCGTGACTTGCTGCGTTGCCGACTGCTCCGCAGGAATCGACCCCTCAAGCAAAGAGCACCATGGACATCGTGCAGGGAGGGCTGGCGCACAAGGGGGTCGTCACCACGTCAGATGGTACGCGTGCTGAGAGCGAGAAAGAAGTTTGACGTGCCTGTCGGATGCTCGCAGAAGACTACGACTTCGAGGATATCGAGACCACTAAGCTGAGGTTGCTCGTGATGACTTCGATACCCGTTGGGCTGACTCGAGTGTTCTGGTGAAGACATGGAATCCAGCCAAGACAGCAGAAGAAGGTAACCTGCTCTCTCCAGCGTTCCCTGCTTCCCACTGTTTACATGATTGAGCTGCTTGTGCTGTTGGTGGTGATGACGTTGTAACGTGAATCTCGCCCTTGTTTGCATCGTTTTCTCTCCCTTCCTCCTCTTGCGAGTGCTTGTCTGCTGCTTGTGACCTGCGCTGTCCTGCTGTCTGGCTTGCTCGCGCTCGTTCACCTGCAGTCCCGTGATGGTCATGCAACAGCAAGTCGTGAAGCATTCATGGGGAGAAATCGCGTTAGGAACGGCACAATCGTGTGCAGTGATGGGGGTGAGAGCTAGAGCAGTGCTTGTCGCATGCCGGGCTGACATGAGCCTCAAGTGCTTCGGTGCTCTCATGGGTCTCTCGGTCGGGGCCATCACTGGCCCCATCTTCGCTCCTCCTGGTCACCGACTTCCAGTAACCATCGCGTCAGCCACATGCTATCTGTGCCTCCTCCGTTCCTGAGGGCCTTTGCAGGTTGATGAAGAGACAGTCAGTGTGGTTCGGCGTGATCTTCGGAGGAGGAGGAGGCATAGTCAGTGAGTTGCTCCTCTCCTTGAGCTCTTGCTCGCCATTGACTGCCCTACTTCAGGTGCTGTGCGCAAATATGCTTGAGCAGCTACCAGCTCTACCTCGCGTCACCTCCACCTGAGGCACTCGACAGAGTGTCCACAACTGCGCAAGCTGAACAATGAAAGTCTGTTTGAACTTGAACTTTGAGTTGAAGGCCGGGGGACTCGTGACGCCCGCCCCGGCGGCCGCACACCGCCGCTCAGGGGCCGCCGCGATGACCAAACGGAGAGTCACTGAGTGGCAGCCGGGCCTCGTCCACCGCGTCACGCCGCCCGGCTGACTCACAGTGAGTACTACCGTAGCCACGAGAGGTTCCGACGTCGGCAATCAGGCGCGTCACGTCGTTCTTCCGAGTCAGCCCGGCGGCCCCCGGATGTATGATGAACTCGGAAGTGGATTCTGAGACTCTGTGCATTGAACTGACTCGGCGGCCCGGACTCGGACTCGGGAACGGTCACGGCGGTCGACGGTCCGATCCCGGCCCCCGCGAGTCGGCGCCCGGCGCGGCCGGGCACTGCCGCAGGCCGCTGAGTCCGAGAGTCGCCGCCGCGAGTCGCCGGGTCGGGTGCTCGCGGCCCAACTCCCGGCCCTTGAACATTCGGACTCGACCGTGGGGTCGGCGAGCCCGGCCCGTCACGGCTGGCCCCGGGCGGCCGCCGGGCAGGCGGGCGGCAGGCTCAGGCCGGGCCGCCCCGCCGGGGCGCCGAGTCGGCACTGCACAGTGTCGCCGGGAGACGGTCATTTAGAACCCCCCACCATCACCACCCCCAAATCTATGGAACACGAACCGGGTCCGGCACGGAGTGGCAAGGAGACATGTGGTACGTACCCGGTGGTTGGAGGAACTGGAGGCCGAGAAGTAGGCGGGGTAGGGGTGGAGGCAGTTGCAAAGCGTTCGAAAGAGGGGGTGGGGGTTACTGCAAGAAATTACCAATATAGTAGGGTAGGGTTATGAAAAGGGGGGATATATCGAAGATTCTTAAGGTCAAAGGGAGGGGTGATGATGGAAGAAGTACCCCCTGTGGGGTAGGAGAATGGAAGTGTGAATGGTGGGGGTGGGGTCAGAGGAACTTGAGACTGACAATGGCGCAAGCCATACAATAGTTTTATCCAGATTTTACAAATATTATATAACTCAAGATGGTCAAATATATAATACCTTTATAGAGAGTTTGGATCGAAAGGCTGTACGGAATAATTTTAAAACTAATTTTTATTTATTAGTATGTTTTATATACAGTTTCATTACTATGTAATTTATAACTCCCTCGACCAAAAAATGTCATTATATTATTTTTAAATCAGGCCCCCGATTAGTTGCGGAGTACAAAGAGGGGATACCCCACCGGTTTATTTTCCATAGAATCAGTGGGTAGGGGTGTAAAATATACCGGTCATTGAGACTGTATTAGACAGGGTGGGGAGTGTAAGATGAACCACCGGGTACAATTGTAGGAAAAATCACCGGTACTGAAAAATATGACCACCCCTAGCAGTCTCTAGAAGCTAATAGGTGGTTGTGCCTAGCACAAGTCAAGTTGTTCCAGGGGTGGGGGTGGACAAAACAAGGGGTGGTATGCTTTGAATAGTACCGAAATTATAAAACTATTTAGTTCATGAAACAGGAGGTATGGTACTACATGCTCTCAATCTGGGCACAGATTAATTTTGTTAAAATATTTTATTCAGTACCATTGCTTCTCCATCCCTACTACACGGATGATGCAAAGATGGTACCTTTCATTCTTTGCAGTACCATTTACAGCAGCCCTCTTTTATGTTACCAGGCTTGCCTCTATACATGGCCTTTTAACACAGGTCACTTCGACTTCAATCACTACAGTTTTAAAATATATAAACACTGAACAAAAATTCATTAAAAATGTTATAGAATACAAAAATATTGTAATATAGAGCAAATTATTGACTAAAACTTCAAGGTACTACACAGCAGGTGTGTTTTCGTTTCTCGTAGTTTCTCAGGGGGGTCTGTACCCCTGCCGGTAAAGTCGCGACCTCCCCCCGCCCCCCTCACCTTCCCCTCCATGCTGAAACAGTGCGGAGGCATGGAAGGAGGAAGAGACGCTGCTCCTGCTCCTGCTCCTGCTCCTGCTCCACCATGCACCCTCTTCGAAGACTTCTGTCCATCTCTTTTTACTCCCCGTCCTTCACCTCCTCTACACACTGCGCTTCGACTTACCCAGTCGTAGTCACATATTCCTGTCCTCCCTTGCTCAACTTGACCGATCGATGTTCCTGCCACTACCACCTCATTGACGCCATTTTACTCTGACAGACTTTCTCTACTGCTGTGCGATGAAATCCTCTCGGTCTTGTTGCTTGGCTAGACCTGTCTTGTGGGATAGTGAGGGTTTGCGTGAGATGTCGGTTGTTGGAACAAGGGTAGACCGGGCTCAGTATCGCCTTGTTTTGAAGGGAGGAGAGAGGGAGATAGCCGAAAGACACTTACCATGGTGCTGTGAATGATGTGCACACATGAAATCACATGGAAGAGAAGCGAGAGCCATTGGGCATGTGATTCGTGGAATGTAAGACAAACAGAAAGTGTAGCGCGAGCGAGGGAGGGAATGCGAGGAGGATGAAGATCTCAACTCTGCTTCTCTGCCACTTGAGAGGTTTTCTCATGCATGCGACTTGCAGCTCGAGGATGGAAAGCGACCAGCTGCCGCAGGAGGCAGGGATGGAGCTAGAGGAGGCTCTCTTCTTTGCGCAGTCGCGGGCGCGGGAGGCAGAGGACGTAAGAGGAGAGGCCGTGGAGGGAGGGAGGTAACGCTGCTGTAGGTTCTCTTCAACTACGACATGCGCATGGAGGAGACTGTGAGTCGCTCACTTGCTCCTGACGTGTCGAGCCATGACGAGGGGCAGGTGCTCCGGGCCTTGACGCTGCTGGACTCGTCGAGGCACAAGGAGATGCAGTCGCTCAAGAAGTGAGGAGAAGCTCTTTCCCTCTCCTCCTGACCTTCTCCTGCAGACTTGAGGAGGCGAAAGCTTCGGTCCTAGAGGAGGAGGCTGCTTGCCGAGCCAAGGTGATACCCGTCGCCCTCCTCGCCCTCCTCGCCCTCCTCCTCCTGCTCGTCGTTGTCCTGTTCGTCCTCGTCTTCCTCCTCCTCACTCTCGTCTTCTCTCCATGACTGTTGCAGCAGAAACATTCGAGTTGCGGTGGCAGCGCGGAGCTTTCGGAGATGGTAAGTGGGAGCGACGACCCGTCGGCTCTAACGCGTTTCCCTAGTCGGCCGTCTCCTCTTGCCTCCAGCAGGCCTGCGGAGATGTTATCGCCTGGTGAGCATCTGCTCTTGCTCCTGGTGGTGCTGGTGCTGCTGCTGCTGGTGTTGATGCTGGTGGTGGTGCTGCTGTTGCTGCTGCTGCTCCCTGGCCTACAACCTTGTTTGTCTCCTCGTTCATGTCATATCAGGCCTGGGAGCGAGCGGCTTCAGCGTCTGTCCCTCGAGCTTGCGGATGCATATCAGGAAGTGAGAGAGGCTGCTGAATCCAGATCCCGGTGAGGAGGAGGAGGAGGAAGAGGAGGAGGAGGAGGAGGAGGAGGAGGAGGAGGAGGGAAGGGGCAGGAGGGATTTGGAGGTGCTGGGAGGCGGAGGGGGGACAGGTGTTTGTGGGTACGGGCAAGGGGAGAAGGATGGTTGCTGACCAAGGAGGAAGGCACGAGAAGCTGCTGCAGGAGCTGGAGATGCTGGTGGAGCCTGTGCTGGAGTACAGGTGAGATAGTGTGATGACAGGAGGATGGAGGGGAAGGGAGGGGAAGGAGGAGGGGGGCGGGAGAAGGAGGGAAAGGAAGGGGGAAGGAGAGGAGAGGGGGGTTGAGGTGTGGGAGAGGAGGAGGTGAAGTTTGTGTTTCAGACACCGCGGGGTTTACGACCCGTCGAGATACGCGGGGCTGGCAGACAACGGGGGAGGAGAGCAGGAGGGGCTGGGGGAGAGCGAGACGCTGACGTCGTATGAGGGGAGCAGCGGTGAGACACGGGAGACGAAGCGCCGACGCTGATGCTGATGCAGTTGTCTTCGTCAACAATGAGTCTTCTCAAGAAAGACGAAATGTGAGTTGTTGCTGAAGCTATTGCTGGTCTTTGGTGATGATGATGATGATGATGATGATGATGATGATGGAGATGATGATGATGGAGGTGATGATGATGATGATGATGATGATGATGATAATGCTGATGATGATGATGAGGATGAAGATGATGATGATGACTGGTCAAAGTATATCTCTGACCGTTACGGTTCAGGAGGATCAAACTTGCTTTCGTCTCATGACGGCGAAGCTGCGAGCGGCAGAGGAGGCGAAAAGGTTTGCTGATGATGATGGAGATGATGATGAAGGGAGTGACACTTGTTTCACTCTTTTCTTCTCCTCTCCCACACTTCTTGTGTCTTCAGGTTCAGAGTGATCTTGAGCAGAATTCAGGTCTATTTCCCACCTTCCTCCCGTATTTCTTTCTTGCCCTGCCTGCCTGCCTGCCTGCCTGCCTGCCTGCCTGCCTGCCTGCCTGCCTGCCTGCTCCTCCTCCTCCTCCTCTCCCTTTGCTTATGTTTCTTGCAGAACGTCATCAGCGAGCTAGATCCCAAGTGAACCTCTCAACCTCTTTGTGAGGCTCCTGATCCTGCCCCGCAGCATCCACGAGGATGTCCTCAAGGATCTCCAAACGTCTCTCCTTTTCTCCTCCTCCTCCTCCTCTCATCCTTGTCGCAGGTTCCCCGTCGAGGAACAAGTCAACAGGCTCATCGACACTCTGCTCGTCCAGGTTCCCCTCCTCTCGCCCCCTCCTCCCTCTCCCCCATTCCCCGTCTGCCTCATCCTCCTGCTCCTTCTCTTCCTCTTCCTCCCTTCCCTCACACGTGAGCAGCAACGAGAGATCGACGAGCTGCGGCAGCAGCTCAAGCAGACGCCCGAGGAAGAGGCGATGGAGGCGAAGCGCCGCGTGCTGCTGCGGATGGCAGAGGAGGAGGAGGAGTTTCTGCATGGGAAGTTGATGGGCGTGAGGAGCGAGAGGAGTCACCCGCACGCGGAGAGAGGACGGAGAGGAGGAGCGACGCCTATGCGAGAGCGCGAGACCGGAACGCCGATGCACAAGCGCAAGAGAGCCAAGGACAGGTGAATGAGGAGGCGTTGGGAGTGAGAGAAGGGAAGAGCTTAGGAGGAAGGGAAAGTAAGGGGAGGGAGGGAGGGAGGAGAAGGGA